TTACTCCGACCCGGGCCGCCAGCGCTGTAGCCCCCGAAGGTCTCGGCCCTCCGCGGTGGGCCCGTGGAGCTGCCTCCTTCTTCTGCCTGGCAGCTCGTGCTGCCCAGCCGCCTGCAGATCAGGCTGTGGATGCCCTCGACTGTGGAAGGGGCAGGACGGGCGAGTCACCCTGCAGAGGCCTGCTGGGGTGTGGGGAGCAGCACCCACCCTGCCTGACCCACAGTCCTGGCCCTGCCCTCACTTCCAGGACTGCAGCCAGGACGTGTGGATCTGTCTGTCTGAGTGCTGGAGACACTGGGGGGCTGTATGGGTCCCGTAACCCCTCCCTCCAGCCAGCCCAGGAGCGTGCTTGGGCCATTTTGTGTAATGACAGCCACACGGTGGGTGGTTCCTGTGGGGAGCAACAGTCTTAGACCAGGTGAGGAGGACATTCCGGGTGCAAGGTCCTGGGGGAGGCAGGAGCACGCCTCAGACATGCGAGGGAGGAGCGCAGAGGCTCGCGGGATGGAACATGGCTCTGTCCCTCCGGACACTCGAGGGCAGGGTTGTGTCCAGCGGACCACCCTGCTGGCTTCCCGGCCCAGAGGCAGCTTTGGGGAGGGCTGTTTTAGGGGACCCACAGAGGCACCCAGGAGAGTGGTGACCAGGGCGAAGTGTGCTACCCCGGTGCACGCAGGGTGGGGACCAGGGGCTGTCACTTACTCTCGCTCATGGCGGACCTGAGGATGTGCTCCCCCTGCAGGATCTCCATGGGGTCTCCTCCCCGGAACAGGCCTCGCGCGGGGCCGGGGTCTTCCAGCCCGCTCATCTGGGCCATCTCCAGATAGATCTGCTGCTTCTCCAGGAGGCTCTGCGCGATCAGCTGGTCCTTCAGGCTCAGGCGCACTGTGGGGAGTGGAGGCGCGGTCAGCCCGGTCGGTCGTCCTCCTCCGGCACCCCGGGATAAACAACAGTGCGGCCCGCGACAAACCCAGAACCATACGAGCTGAGAGTTTTCTAATCTCAAGGCTTCCTTCATCCTTGCACTGAGGTTTTTCCCTAGTGAACTCCTTACACACGTTTTCCCCCATTACGTACAAATAGGATCTATTTTATCTTATTTGATTTGGAAACAAGTTCCCACTAAGTCACGGAGGGGCCCAGCCTGGGCTCGAACTTGCAAGCCTCCTCCTGCCAGAGAGCAGGGATGACAGGCGTGCCCACTGTGCCCAGCTGTCCTCTGATCACTGTGCTTTTCTGGGTTACAGGGGATGGAGCCCAGGGCCGGGAGTGCACCCCAGCTCAGGGCTTATTTTATGAGACTTTCCTTGCTGTGGCTCCAATCGGTGCGTCCCCTCCAAAGCTCTTGTTCATGCACGGGCCTGATCAGTGAGTGCAGCGTTTTAGCTGCTAAAAGGCCAGTCTGGTCGTGCTTCTTGGTGTGCTCTGTCCCTCACCACGGGCAGTACCACACCCCTTCAGGGCTCTGCGGGACAAGGGCCACCACAGACATGGGCCTGAACCTGCCCCCCAAATAACTCTTTTCTTCGTATCTTCCCCCGCCTGTGGTAAGTGGGTTATTAGCAACTGAGAACCCACAGAGACCCAGAAGCCATTCCATCCAGCTAAATAACCAAATACTCTGCGCAGTCCCAATTGCTTGCAGCTGATTCTACTGAATTTTCTAGGCAGGTGGTCCTGTCCTATGTGACAAATAAATTCTGTCCCCTCCTTCCCATAACATCTGATTCCTGTTTCCTCTTTTCTTACTCTGGCTGGAAACTCCAGGAAGAAAATAGCAGTAAGAGTGGGTGGCCCTGCCCTTCTCCTGATCTTAGACAGACGGTCCCTTGCATCATGCTAGGGGGCTTGAGGTTGGCTTTTCCAGGTGGGGAAGAACATCATCTTTCTAAAACAGGTGTGGTGGTGCATGCTTGTAATCCCAGCTACTGGGGAGGCTGAGGCAGGAGGATCCCAAGTCTGAAGTCAGCCTGGTCATGTGGGTGGTGACTGCCTCTGAGTCCAGTCCCACCCAGAGGGACAGAATAGGGTGGGTGCGGCTGGCTGCCCAGGCTGCTGTTACCATGTGAGGGACACATCCGTGATGCCGACTCCCTCTTACCATGGAAGTCCTTGAGTTTCATGGCTCGGGCCTCGACCATCTTCCTCTCCTCCTCAGCCTCGCTGAAGGGTCCCTCTTCCTCGTCAGGACAGCTGCAGGGGAGGGGCACAGAGCATCAGCGCCTCCTGGGCTGGCTGTGCAGGGATGGGTCTTGCCAGTGCTTGGCTGAGGAGGGAGGACAGGACACTGACCTGCCCCTGTGGGCCGGGGCGGGAGGGACAGGCTACTGTGTCCAGCCTCAGGGCCCCACGTGAAGAAAGGTCCCACTTAGATCCTGGAGATACCCAGGTGGGGTCTGGTGAGACAGGGCTGGGACAGCACCATAAGCCCATTTCCTTTTCTCCTTCTTCCTTTGTCTTTTGGTGGCACTGGAGATTGAACCCAAGGCTTTGGAAATGCCAAGCGAGTGTCTACCATCAAACACACCTCTAGCCACTTTTTACTTTTTTGATTTTGAGACAGGCACTCACTAAATTGTCCTGGCTGGCCCTGAACTCATGATCCTCCTGCCTAAGCTTCCCATGCAGCTGGGTTTGCAGCTCTATGTGTCACCGTGCCTGGCTTTTCCATCCATTTTCTTTTCTTTTTTGAGACAGGGCCTCACTGTGGAGTCCAGGCTAACCTTGAACTCATGGCCACCCTCCTGCCTCAGCCTCCCGAGTGCTGGGATGACAGATGTACACCTCCATGCCCAGCTTCTTTTCCATCCATTTTGAGAGCTCATGGGTGGACGGAGCATAGGACAGGACAGGAGGAGGGGATGACCGCAAGAGTCTGGAGGAGCGCGTGGTGGGGAGGGCTGGCCGCCTCACCTCTCTACAGCGCGGCGGATGTGGGCCATCCAGGTGTTCCTGTCCTCCTTGGAGCTCATGTAGATCTCGTACATCTCTGGCCCTTGCAGGGAGGCGCTGATCAGAAACATGGCCTTCTCTTCGTTGGCCACCTCCCGCACGATGAGCTTTTGCAGGGAGATGACGGGAGGCTTCGAGTCCTGTCCCAGAGGAGGTGGCAGGAGGTGCCCATTACCCTGCTGCTTCCCAACAGCAGCAACAGCATGGGTCCCAGGTGCGAGGCACCAAGAGGGGAGCATGCGCAGTCAGCGGAAGATTCTGCAGACTGGAGGGAAAAAACTAGACTATTGCAATGATATCCTACCCTGTCTCTCTCCCACTACTGGGAATTGACCTCAGGGTCTTTGCACTGAGCTCCATCCCCAGCCCTTCTTATTGTGATACAGGGTTTCAATAAGTTGCCCAGGCTGGGTTCATACTTACAACCTTTCTGCTCCAGCCTCCCAGAGAGCTGGGAGTGGAGGCACGCACTACTACATTCAGCTGCTTTTAAGGCATCAATATGCTTTTTATTTCCCTTTGAAAGAGAGAGTTTTGCTATGTTGCCTCGGGAGCCCTCAAACTCCTATACTCAAACGATCCTCCTGTCTCAGCCTCCCAAGTAGCTGGGACTACAGGTGCAAGGGCAATTTTTATTTATTTTCATTTTTTAATTTTTTTTGGTACCAGGGATCAAACTTGGGAACTTCTGCTTGCGAGGCAGGTGGTGGAACTACAGAGCTAAATCCCCGGCCTGGCAATTTTAATTTTTATAATCAGTAATGAATATACACTTTACAAAACTCAAAAGATAAAGTAACATAGAGTATATTCAACAGTAGCCCTCACTCAAGTCCCTGAGCCAACCAGTATCTCCACTCTGTTATGTGTCTGGCAAGGAAGAATGGTATGGCCAGGGATGGTGGTACACTCGGGAGGCTGAGGCAGGAGGATCGCTGTGAGTTTGAGACCAGCCTGGGCTACACAGTGAGTTCAAGGCCAGCCTGGACTACACAGTGAGACCCTGTCTCAAAACAAACCACCAGAACAAAAGGGGGCTTGAGAGGGTCAGTGGGATAAAATAAAATTTATTAAAAAAAAAATAGAGAAAACTCCCCATTCATCCAGAAAAAGGAAAGAAAAAAAAAAAAAAAGAAAGAAAGAAAATGTGGTATTCTTACATAATAGAATACTGCTGTGCCATAAACAAGGAAAAAACTGGAATCACTTGTAGGAAAATGGATGCACCTTGAGACCATAATGTTAGAAGTAAATCAGACACAACATGTAGACATCATATGGTCTCTCTCATACGAGAAACCCAAATCATACGTAATTTAAAGGGCAAAATAAAAGACACACAGCAAACAGGGAGACAGAACTTTTGCAAATGGAAGGGGAACCAAGAGGTAGAGGGGGAAGAGAAGGGAAAGCAAAAAGAAGAATTAAGCCCATGCACCAGCTCCCAGTGATGAATGCAATATTATGTGTTATAAACATGGACTAATACAACTTTTAAAAAGAACAGGAAGAACTGAAATGCAGCATTTAAAGTACACGTACTTGGTCACTAGAGAAGCCCCGGGGCCAGGTCTGGCCCACTGTCTCCCTTTGTAAATAAAGCTTTATTGACAAGCACTGTGCCAGCTCACGGCACACTCCTGACAGTGGTTTCTGGGATATACCGGTGTGAAGGAGGAGTCACCTGCCAACCCACAGTACAAAGGCATCATAAAGAGCGGCCAGGCAGAAACCCCGAGGCAGTGATGCCATGTGTTTGTGTCCTGGTGACAGGGCTGAAGATGGTTTTTATTTTTGTGTGCACCTTTCTGGACTATAAGTTTCTGAAACCAAGTTCGGAAGGGATGAGAGGAACAAGGGAGAGGGGCTGGGAAACAGCTTGAGAAACTACTTTTCAATTGTTTTGGAAGAGCTCTTGTGCGCTCGCACCACTGCGCAACACCAAAGGCCCCAAGAAGCCACTTTAAACCCCGGGCTCAGTGGTGGAGGGCCGCCCTCTCCAGGTGACCCGGAAGCAGATGGGCGCCAAGCCTTTCAGCAGCCGGCACTCACCCTGCAGCAGAGTCTGACAGAGCAGGGAGGGAGCCAAGTGCAAAGTGGACACAGGGCTGGCCAGGTCGGCCACCGTGGCCCCAGACGAGCCTGGCCACAGCTCTGGATCAGTGGCCGCCTGAGCTCGGGCACTCAGTGACGGGGACCATAATCCTCAGGAGGAAGGGGGTTTGCCTGGCAAGGTTTATGGACACCCGCGAGTGCCTGCTGGAAGAAGGGACGGAAGACACACAGGTTCTAGGTCAGGCCCTCCCGGGAGGGCCAGGATGCACAGGGCATCCGGGATGCACTCTCCTGTTGCCACCGTCCCTGCAGCGCCCCTCCGTGGGGCCACCCAAGGTGCCAGGCCGGGGCCCTCTGTGAGGATGCTGGCTACGTACCACGGAAGCGAAGACGTACTTCTGGTCCTTCTCCTGCAGCAGCAGCAGCACGTCAGTCAGCAGGACGGCGAGGACCTCTGTGCAGACGGCATGAGGCCTCTCAACAGCGTGCCGATGGTCGCCTGTCCCCATGTGGCCTTCGGCACCACGCTGCTTCTGCTTGAGCCTCAGTCTCCTTTCTAACCCGGCACTGAGCACAGGAAGGCTGGGGCTACTTCGGGGGCTCCTGCTCTGAGCAGCACGTGGTGGTGCTCAGAATCCTGGCCCTCGGGAGGCTGAGGCAGGAGGATCCCCACAAGTTGGGAGGCCAGCCTGGGCTACACAGTGAGTTCAAGGCCAGCCTGGACTACAGAGCGAGACCCTGTCTCAGATGAATAAACCAAAACAAGCAAGATGATCCGAGCTGAACCACAGCTCCTGGCCCTTGGCGAGGCCATGGCGCCTGCCTGGTGGATCTCCCTGGCCCGGCCCGGCCTGGGGCCACTCTGGCTCAGCTTTCCCGCTATGGGCTGAGCCATTTGCTCTCCTTGCCTTCCGTCGCTGGGACCTGAGCACTGCACTCCCATGTGCTGCCTCCTGCTGCAGTGACGCAGGGAGAGCTGGCCCCAGTCTGCTCAGTGCCTCGGTCTTTGTATGAACATCTCACAGAGCACGGCTTTCGTAACCGTAAATCCTGAAACCACTTTCAACAGACCAGAGTACTCAAATACTACCTTTTGGGGGATCTGATTCTTTTTTTTTTTTTTTTCCTTTTTTGAAGCAGGGTCTCCCTATGTAGCCCAGGCTGGCCTTGAACTCATGGTGATCCTCCTGCCTCAGCCTCATGAGGGCTGGTATAACAGGTGGACGCCACCGTGCCCAATGGGGATCCATTTCTGATAACCCCGTCTAAATCAGGTTATCTTTTCCCATCCAATTCTCCATCACTGCAGCCTGTTGATTCTTTTAAAGCTTTTGCTGCTATTTTATTATCTACTTAATTTGAATTTACATATTTCTCTTTTTGCTCCACTGACTGGAGCCCCAGGGGCCAGGGGTCAGGTCTTGCTGAACAGGTATGTTCTCGCCAGCTAGCCTGGTGCCAAGCCAAGAAAGTGCCCCCCATCAAAGGTGGGATCTGACGATCTGAGGTGACGCGTATGAACCCGAGACGATGCCCATCACGCGAGGCGGCACCCACCACCCCAACACAGGGCCCGCCTGTCCAAGACGGTATCCGTCATTCCAAGAGTGTGCCGACCCCTCCCTGGTGGCGGCACCGATCTCGCGAGGTACACAACGCGTCCACACGGCGGCAGCCACCCCAAGACGGCGCCCACCGCGCAGACCCGCGGCGGCGAGCAGGGCCAGGGGCGGGGCTTTACCTTTCAAGCGCCCGGATGTGCTCTTCCAGCACAGGGCGCCCTCCAGGTGGAGCTGCCGCTGCAGCATGTCCTCCTTGCGGAAAGTGAGCCCGTTCTTGAGTTTGCTGGAGGACTTCAGGTCCATTTTGCCCGCGATCTCCCTGAGGCGCTGGCCCTTCTCCCACTCGCTGACCTTGGTGTCCACTTGGGAGATGACGTCCCGGATGAGGTTCAGCGCCTGGGTCAGGTCCTCGTAGTCCTCGGTGCCGGCTGCCACACCACACGCAGAGTTAGGCGTCAGACAGACTCGCCGCGGAGGACCCCTGAGGAGCGTTCCCTGGGGACCCTCAGGGATCACCTCCCGGCTCTAATCGCGAGAAGCAGAATGGCCTCCGAAATCGACGCGATGGCCCAAGAGTTTAGTTTCGACCTGGGCAGCGCTTCTGTTCTACACAGAAGCGAAGGTGTGATCCAAGTGACAAAAACCGTCCAGCGCAGCTCCTTCTGCCACCCTTGGGGCACAAACGTCCCCCTACTCCTCCAGCTCTTCCTAAGGGGCTTCCCCTCGCCTGCTGTGGCCAGAGCTGGCTCCCCACCCACGCCCTGCTCCGTGGACCTGGTCCGGGAGCCTTCCGGACCCACTGGTGTGAGCGCTGTACCCTGGCTCCTCCGCCCTCCTTGGCTCCAGGCACAACTCTTTTGTGCCCCTGGCCTGTCTGGCTAACTTGGAAACAACCTCACTTCAGTCCACTTATCCAGGCCAGAGGCTCAAGCAGGGCCTCGTCCAGCTTGGCCTGAGCTAGGGACAGGGACTCACAGTAAGCAGATGCGATGGGCCCCTGTCTTTTTTCTTTTTTTTTGGTACTGGGGATCGAACTCTGGCCCTTCCGCTTACGAGACTGATAGCAGTTCCAGAGCCGAATCCCCGGCCTGCCTTGTTTTTTTGAGACAGCATCTTGCCGTGTAGTCCAGACCAGCCTTAAACTTTCGGTGTAGCTCACGCTGGCTGTGAACTTGTATTCCTCCTGCCTCAGCCTCCAGAGGGCTGGGATGACAGGCGTGAGCTGCTGCAGTGCCCAACTTCAGTCCCTGCCTTCCTGGTGCTGACCGCTTCACTCTCCCTGTTGGGAAACCCTGGTGCCCAGCAGATTCCAAGGGGAGCTGACCCCACCCCCTGCAGCCCTGACAGGCAGGCAGTAGAGCACCCCACCTGCCGTGTTCTGGATGATGCGCTCCACCAGCACGGGGTACTTGGTTATGCGCTGGGTGACGAGGAGAATGCACTCCTGCACGCCCAGCCGCCTCACGATGGAGAAGTTGCCGATTTTCTAGGAGCCGGAAAACAGAAGGCCTCGTGTTAGCGTCTGATCTGCTGGATCATTTAATGATCAGCTTCCAAGCCTGGGGGCTCCTTCCTCTTCAGTCTGCTGGGACCTCTTCAGAGCTGACTGGGATTGCCCACTGGATGCCTGAAAGCGGGGATCGGATCGCCTGCTGTACACAGAAGGCCACACGGACAAAGGGGCCCCTGCAAAACCCACTGAGGGACAAGAATCCGCCATGCAGAGGATACGTGGACCACCTGTCGGGCTGTCCCGTACCTGCATGTGTGCACAGCAAGACCTGAACCCCGAACCGGGGCAGGTCTTGTTCCCTGGCCCTCTGGACGAGCCTGGCTGTGTCCCTCATCCTAGTACTGGCTCCCTGGGGGCTGACAGCCAGAGATGCAGCCACTTGGACTCATTTCCTGGAGGGCTGAGGGCATGTCCTGTGGGTTTGAACCACCACTGGGCTAGCTGTACGTTTTACGAATGCTGGCAATTGAAGAGACACTACTTTTTTTTTTATTTTGCAGTACTAAGGATTGAGCCCAGGGCCTTTACAATGAGCTGCATCCCCAGCCCATATTTTATTTTTGAGACAGGGTCCCGCTAAGTTGCCCAGGTTGGGCTTGAACTTGCGATCCTCCTGCCTCGGCCTCTCAGAGTGCTGGCATTGCAGGTGTGTGCTGCCACACTTGGCTTTTTTTTTCTTTTCTTTTTGTACCGGAGGTTGAACTTGAGACCATGTGCTTGAGTGCCAGGCAGTGGAACTACTGAGCTAAATCCCTGGCCCCACACTTGGCTATTTTTATGAGACAAGGTCCTGCTATGTTTTACTCAGGCTGGCTTGGAACTCCTGGGCTCAAGCAATCTCCTGCCTCAGCCTCCTTAGTAGCTGCAGGTGTGCCCTATGGCTCCAGGAACAAATTTTAAGTACATGTGTTTCTTAACTTGAGACTGTTAGTAGCTGAGAAACTAACCTGCGACATCCCCTGGGCACAAAAAGCAGGTGTGGAGTTGCTTTGGTGACTGGAACCCAGCAAAGTAGGGCCTGAAAAAGCGATTGCTGACAGAGTGTCCTTTCTGGGACAGCAAAGCCCAGGCTGGCCTCAAACTCCGAGTGATTCTCCTGCCTCAGCCTCCCAAATGCTGGGATCGTAGGCTGGTGCCACCACACCTAGCTGCTTAGACTTATTTTCATTTTGGGATTCTATGAGATTTCGCTGACATGTTCTGAGTTGCTTTATGATTGAAAGTAAAAATGACCGGTGAAAACCACTGTAACACCTTATAGTTTCTGGATTCCAAGATACTACAGTTCTGTTGGGGGGGGTGTCTACAGTGAATAAAAGATTTTAGTAAAAAAGATGATTTTTTTTTTACCTTGATCAAGTTGTGAAATTTCTTGTTTTGCTGCAGCAGTAATTTGTAATGACTGACTGCCTCGTTGTGCCCACTACAAAACACACCGTATTTCTCTTTCATTCTCTCCCCGTTTTCACCTGAAAACTAATGTCAAGAGGATGGAAATGTTACCGAAACGAAATATGAAGACCATCAAGGTGTGTTTTTGTCTAGTTCACCCGGCTGTGCTGAAAAAAAGACTGGGATGACTTTGCGTGGGGACTTTCGCTCCGTCACAGATGCTCCACCTCTTGGCCACCAGGAATTGGTTTCCGAGGAGATCATTTATCCACGGGCGGGGACGATGGTTTCAGGATAATTCAAAGGAGCACGCGTGCCCTATGTCCCGCACATGCGCAGTTTGCAGCCGGGGGGGGGTCCTCCCGCAAGAACCGAATGCCCGCCGTGGGCAATAAATACAGATGAAGGCTCCTGGTGCGCGCGGTTCCTAACCAGACGCGGGACGGGACTCCCTTCTACTGAAAACCTTACAGTCGAAGGCTTCCTGAGGTTGAAGTAGAAAAATAACTTAAAGCCAAAAGATGTTAGCAAAAGGAAAAGACAGAGCAGTATTTAAAAAAATTAATTCTAATTTCACTTTTTCCCCCCTAGCGCTGGGGATGGAACCTTGGGTCTCACCACAGCAGGCACACGGGGCACCACTGAGTCACGCCGGCAGCCCCCAAATGAACTGGCCGAGGGGAATGGGGCCAGCGTCCCGGCCCCCGGCCCCGTCCGTCCTTCCTGGCCTAGGATCGGAAATGACCGTTAGGGGTTCGAGGCCCACCGCGGGTCTGGAGTAATGCTCCTGTCAAGAGCAGCGGTCGGGACCTTAAAATAAAAACCAGACGAACAAAAGCACAGAAGGATGGGGCTCTGGACAATTCTGATAGGAACGCTTGTCCTTCCTGCCTCTGCATCCCTAGGGCAGGAGCTGCTGGTGGAAGCGGGGGGCCAAGGGCTCGTTTTTCTGTTTCAGGGTCTTTTTGGTGGCCCTGGCAGTACACTCGCGGCCTCAGGCGTGCCAGGGAAGCGCTCTACCACCGAACGACTGGTCGCAGCCGCACCCACCTGCTGGACCAGGAGGTCCCCGATCTTGTGGATGACATAGTTCCGCTCGCTGCCTTCCTCCAGCGCCTCCTGGCGGCGCTCCTTAAGGCGGGCCAGGAAGTGGCCATGCAGGTCCAGCAGGTCGTCCACGCACGGGAAGAGGCGGCTGACGGCCTTGCCGCTGAACTGCAGCTCCTCCTGCAGGGCCCTGGAGTAGACCTTCAGCATGATCTTCAGCGTGCGGACGTGGTGCGCCTCCGTCTGCATCAGCTCTGTGGGGACACGGGAGGCAGGGGGCACGACTGGGTGTTGCCGGCTGCGTGGCTGGGGTGGCTTGGGCGGCGCCCACCTCAGCCCTTGGCCTTCTGGCCTTTCTCATTTAAAAAAAAATTTTATAAAGAGATAGAGTCTTGCTGTGTTGCCCGGGCTGGCCTTCAACTCCTGGGGCTCAGATGATCCTCCTGCCTCAGCCTCCTGGGTAGATGGAGTGTACCTGCCTTTTGTCCTTTCTCTCATTTTTATTTTTATTAGTACATGTCTGCAGTACATAGAGTTCACATGCATCGTGTGGAGCTGGTGTGTGGACCTAGCACATTTTAATCCCTTTTTCATCCCTGTTTCCTCTTCTTCCTCCCCCACGTCATCCTTGTTCCCATTCTTAGTTGAAAAAGATCTATCTCCCTACTTCCTGTTTTTGCCTTTTTATTTTGCTCTCTCTCTCTCTACGTTTCTGATGTAGGAGAAAACATGTGATACATGTGTTTACAGCGGCACAGCTCACGACAGTCTGCGTGCCCCTCAACAAGTGGATGGAGAAAGAGAACGATATTTACACACAACGGAGTACTACTCTGCTATGAAGAAGGATGCATCCTGAGACCATAGTGTGATGTGAAATACATCAGACACACAAGCTTGTTGTTCTTTCTTGCCCAAGTGTCTCGTCCTCCCTATCCCAGTGCTGTGGGAGTCCCAGACTGAAGGAGTAGAGAAAAGGGAGGACCCAGGACATGCACTGGGACTGCAACATCCCAGAAGGGTTTCATGTGTGAAGTGGACAAGCACATCTGAGGGCTGTTTCACAAGGCTGCTTGGAGCGGTGCCAAGTCTGTGGGGGAACTCACACATCTGTACTGTCTATGAGCGCACAAAGCTCACAGCTGAAACCTCACTCCAATGCCATGGTGGGGGGGCCTGGGAGGAGGTTAGGCTGTAAGAGTGGAGTCCTCGTGGACGGGGAGACCCCAAGATGGCTGTGGTGGTGCACCCTAAGTCTCAGCTACTCAGGAGGCTGAAGCAGGAGGATCACAAGTCTGAGGCCAACCTGGTTAATTCAGCAAGACTTTTCCTGAAAATAAAAGATGAAAAGGACCAGGGGCGTGGCTCGGGGTACAGCCCCCGGGGTGAGGTGCAGACCCGCACAGGCTGTTCACCGCGGGAGAACACAGGGAGAAGGCGCCCCCTGTGAACCCGGGAGCAGCCCTCCCCGGATACCAAGGCTGCTGGCGCCGGGGTCCTGGCCTCCCCCGGGACCCCTGGACTCTCTGGGACCTCGTGAGTTGTGCCCAAATACTGTCTCCAGTGTTCTGTTAGAGCAGCCCACAGGGGTGACAGCTGCCACCAAGGTGACTCAGACCTGGGCGCCTGCCCAGGCCCCACTGCAGAGACCTGGGTCTTTCTTTCCCGGTCCACAGGCAGGGCTGCCCCAGGGACTGGACGGGGCTGACAGGCGGGGAGACGGAGTCACACCTCAGGGGAGGTGGACTGAGGAAGCCAGACCTCTCCTGGGGGAACAGAGAGAGGGGAGGACAGGAGGGCGCGGGGCGGCAGGCCGGACGTCTTACCGTAGAGCACATCCTGCCTTCGCGCCACCTCTCGCTTCTGTTTCTGGGCGTAGGCCTGGTCCACGGCCAAGCTCCAGGACTCAGCCTCGAACTCGTGGGCATCGGCGTCGATCTCGCTCCTCAGCGACGCAGTGTAGGGATCTGAAGGAGAGACGGGGGCTGCTGGTGGGGAGCGGGGCTCTGGGTCCCCCTCCTCGGGACACGCGGGGCGACCGTACCTTCCACATAGACGGGGTCGGCGCTGGAGGGCGTGAGGGCAACGGAGTCCTCGGCTGCCGGCTTGAATTTCGAAAACGCAGAATCGGCTTCGTCCATCTCTCCCGGGACTGGTCTAAGGGAAAGCACAGCAACAGATCCGTCAAACAGCTGCACCGCACAGGCACGCGCAGCCCCCTGTCCTCGAAGGCGGGGCGGTTCCGGGCTTCTGGGACTAGCTGGGCTCCCGGAGAAGGCTGCCCCGGCTCGGACCATCTTGAAAACCTCGGACGATCAGTGTCACGGAGCCCTGTGCCACCCAGGTCTGTCACGAGGGCTCCTGCAGGGTCTAGGGGCCTCCAGCCTCGCAGTCCGGGGCGGGCAGGGTGGGGGCTCAGGTCTGCAAGACTAAAAAGATAATGAGCTCCCCTCGCTACCGATGAAGACCATGGCGACGCGGGAGGTTCCCGCCTCCCTTTTCTACCCAGTGGTGCGGAAAGATCGAGGGACCCCTTCACATCCTGTGAAGCTGAGGCGGGCACAGGTGTTGGGGTGCGGGGGCCCTGGCGGGTGAGATCCAAGCGTCTTAGGCGGGCTGGCTGTGGACGCGTGTTGTTTGCGGAGAGAGCGAGTGTTAATGGGAATTTTACCCAGGGGGCCGAGCCACCGCGGAGTGGGG